AAAAAAAAAAAAAAAAAAAGGAAAAAAGAAAGTAAACTATGAAATCAAAGCCATGCTAACTTGAACAGTTATAGTCAAGTTATTTAAAAGTTCTCCATTGTATCAGTCACTAGTTTACTCCAACACAGTTTCCCAGTTTTTTCAAGGAGTGAAGGAAATAGAGTAAATATCTGTAAATTTTTCAATAATATCTGTTTAGAAAAGCAGAGAAGTTAAAAAACCATATGCTTGCTATAAACCAACCTAAAGTTAGAAAACAGACTCAGGGTAAGCCCCTGGCAAGAAAATGCCTCTTCTGCGAGCGTTTCTGGCGGCACAGTCTCCCTCCAGTGTCCCTGAAGGACACTCAGAAGCAATCCAGGTAAGCTCACGCTCATTCCTCCCTGCGAGGGGCCTGGGCACGTGACAGAGGAGCAGGCGGCACACAGCATCATGTGCCTGGTGCTCCTGCCAGCCTGCTGATGACTCCACCCCTTGTGGAGAGAACACTCCATGTGCCTTGTGTTTACGTGTGATGTTGAAGCATCATGGTCTCAACGCCATTATTTCAGCCCTTTCAGGCACTTACAAAGCCTCCTGATTTTGAATGGCAACAGCTTGTGTGTGTGAAGTAGTCATCTGACAAGCTCACGACAAGAGCTAGGAAGTGTTCAGTCTGCAAAACAAAGGGGATCTGAGTCAACCTTAGACACCTCTACCTCATTTTAAAACCTCAAACCTAACTATCATATAGTTTTATCCAACAATGGTCCGCTCTGTGTCCCCCCAGCTGGAAGAAACCGAGGCTGGACCACATGAGCTGGGGTGTGGGTGGAATGACAGCAGACAGACAAAAGGTTTCAGTACTCCACCTGCAACACACCAGGTTCAGGGCTTTGTGTTGTTTATTTCCTACAGGAAAAACCCTGACAATGGCAAGAACGGTGGACATCCCCCGGGCTGTACAGAACTTCCGGTTCTTTGCTTCCTCTGTCCTGCACCACACAACAGAGTGCACACAGATGGATCACCTGGGCTGTCTGCACTACACAGTGCGGACCCCCGTGGGGATTGGTAGGTGCTGTCTACAGAAAGCTCGTACGTGGTAGTGCATGGAGATGCTGGGAAAATTCTGTAGGATTGACCCAAGGAGCATGACACTGAAAGTTTGTTGGCCCCCAAAAATCTGTTTCTAGTTTATTTGCTTTGGGTTTAAATTCCTTACTTATATCTGGAACATTATCTTGGAAAATTACAGAGAAAAGAGTGATACCAAGAGTAAATTCACATGCCAGGATTTTAAAAAGAAGTGTTAGTACCTATAATTAGCAAGAAGGAAAAAAAAAATCCAGAAAGTGCAGTGGATTAAACTCTGGAATTGATGGGGAATTCAGTTTAACTTCTGTGTGCTTCTGTATCCTTTCTGAAGAGTTGGAGTAATAGTTTAATTTTATGTATTTTAAACAAACAAACAAACAAACAAACGGCCCTTAGCGCCAGGTATATGTTAAATAACCCAAAGTGAGAATTAGCTACTTCTGTCATTTGTTTCTTCGCTTGCCCCTTTGACCTTTGAAGGAACATATAAATGCCTGCTATGACTTAACATATCCACTAGATGTCGTTATTTCCTCTCAGGAGAAACAAAACCTCCATATTTATAACGAGTTAACATTTTATGAATGTAAAAGGAAAGAATATTAGACCTTTTACTGTTTTGATTCTCTGTTCCCCTCAGAAATAATATTTTCAAGGAATTATTGGACGCTTTAGCCTTCTCCTAAGAACTATGTGAGGGTACTTTGCTGCAAAAATATTCTGTCACCCAATGGAAAATGTAATAATATAAAATATACATTTACTTTCTTAGCATAGGTTTTAAGGCAGAGAGTAAAATAAGGAGACTCTATTTCCTTATTCACAATGTAGCTTTCATATTTTTTTGTGTGTTGTGGTTGGAAAACTGAGCAGTTTCAGAATATTTCATGGAGACACACTCTAGATGTTAGGTACATTACTTATCTAACAAACCCATCTGTCCAGGGTGCAGATGAGACTTCACAGATAATTTTTATTTAAAAATCTTTTATACGGCTAAGTTGTATTGCATCAAAGTTCATTGACTTTCCTGACCGTGGGGCCCTCCCCAGGACCAGGAGGACATTGCTTTGATCTAGTTTCATGAATAATTTGAGAAAGCTTGAGATTTTTATATCTTAAGCCACAACAGTTGAGAAGCAGAGGTGCAAAAACTTGTTAGAAGAAACAGCAGCTGCACAGCTTAATAATGAGGAGGGATTTTTTTAAAAAAGTAAATATCAATTTATAATCTTAAAATGGAACTGTTTAGGTGACAGCCTTGCAGCTTATGTTGCTATTGTTTGTAATTATAGTCACAAGCCACCGAGAAATGGGTAAGTCGTACTGATCTTACTGTTTTACAAGGTACAGTCACTTTTACTGTTTTATAAAGATTTCCCTGAGGTGGGCTACAACCGAGCCGAGTCGAGGGGTTTTGAGGGTGAGTTAGATGTCTTTCAGGAGCTCTGCTTTAGAAACCCCAGCCTCTGAGGAGCATGTCACCAGGGCCTCTGCTCTGGTTCTTCAGCTGGACTCATCAGCCCCTGGAACCTGCCCCTCTACTTGCTGACCTGGAAGATGGCTCCAGCCATTGCTGCCGGCAATACCGTGGTAGCCAAGCCCAGTGAACTGACCTCAGTGACTGCCTGGATGTTGTGCAAGCTCCTGGATAAAGCAGGTGATTAGGTGTTGGGCTTGGAGGAGGCGCAGAGTTGAAGTGACATTATGCAGAAATCTACTTAGCAGCAGAATGAATTGCAGTGACATCTTAGGGTTTTGTCTCTCTGAGCTTTCCTGAAAGGAAGAAGAGGGGCTGGATCTCAGTGTGCCCTCTGGGCACACCCTCCATGACCTACCTCCTCTAATCACCTCCCAGCAGCACCATGGGCTGGGAACCTAGCCTTCACCTCATGGGTCTCTGGAGGATGTTTCAGACCCAAGCTACAGCAGGGGCTCTCACTCTAGTTCAATCCCGCATAGGGGAAGGGGCACATGGAGGCAGATATGGAACTGTGCTTTAATCTATGATGAGTTTTGTTTCCTTCCCACCCATCTTAGACACGGTCTGTATGAGAGATTTACATTTCCATCTGTTTGCATAGCATTGATCTCATTTTGTGTGATCTCATAAGCCCATTACACCAGGGTCGCCCTTTTCCTCTTTCCTCCCTGAGCTGGCTGTGCCAAACTCGCTCTTCTGACAAGCACTGTGAGCATAATTCTGCCAAGTGGCACCCCTCTCAAGCCTTTGGTTTCTTCACTGGGATTGGAGGATGGGAGAGCATATGAAATCCTCCTTTCCAACAATGCAACAAGAGCTTTTAAGAGTGTAAGGGGGGGAGGGGAGTGAAAGAACTGCTAATACATCCTGCGTATTTAAAAAGCCAGCTCCTCTAGTTCTGAAGTGCATGCATCCTGATGGATGACGTTCCTTGGAGATATAATCATGTAAGAAGTGCACAGTGACTATCTCTTCGGGAATCCTAGAATGTTCTGTTTTCTTCTTGGGAATACTAAATTTTTGCCATCATTCTTAGAGAGTCCATTGGCTGGGGCTTTCTGGCCTTTTTCTTCATTTTATTTTACTACTCTATTCAGATTTAAAATCCTTTTGCTTCCCTATAAGCAGCTCTAGCACTTGAGAGCCTCCGTTCTTTTTTGTTCCGGTGTCCTGTCTGTTAGCCACTTGAATTTTGCTGAATTTCTGTTTGCCAGTTAAACTGCTTCCCTTCTCATACACAGAGAATCTTTTAAGGGTTATAGGGCAGATAGCTGTACAGAAATTTCATTAACGCATGGATCAAATGGCAGAATGGTTACTGAGAAATCATGGTCAGCAGATACCTCTCAACACATTAGCATCATACCCCAAAGAAATGTAATCAAAACTTTAATACTACATGTGGAAAGTAATCAGTCTGCTGGAATGACCTCATTTTCCCATGGTGCTTCTGTTTTATTTTATTTTGTTTTCTCATCCTCTGTTAAAATGCTAGTATAAATATTAGAGTGGCTCAACTCATTTTTGCCTTCAGAATTTGTAAATATCGCCCAGCCCAAGCCCTCATCCACCCCCACCCTTGTCTGACATTTGGTGGAGAGGCCACACCCCATCCAAGAAGAGGTGAAATTTGTCTTTGTTTCCTTCTCATCAGTGGCTCTCCTTTCAGATTCTTTCTTGCCCAACCTGGGGCACAGGGGCACCTACCCGGTGCAGGCACTCTCTGGTAGTTACCTGCAATCCAGGACTGACCTGAGCTAGATTTAATAAATGCTCACATTGAGTCAGGAGGTGGGACCATTAGAAGTGAGTCTCTGCCAGACACAACGGTGTCACTCAGTCTTTCCACCTGTCTCCTTAGGGATGGGGCCTCCACTGAACCCTCAAGGTGATAGGGCTGAGGCCACCGCCCTGTGGAAGGGCATTCTGGGTGATGATGGATCACCAATGTGAAATCATTATTTATACTTTAAGGGCAGATTCTTTTTAAATTTATGACTTATTTATTTATTTTGGTACTGGTGAAGAACTTGGGACCTTGCTCTTGTAAGGCAGGTGGCTGAACCACTGAGCTAAATACCCGGCCCTTTTAATGTATTTTTTAAATTACTAATTTTATCGGTACATTTTAGGTGTACAATATAATGACACTCATCGTTGGGGATTTCCATATTTATGTAACCTGTCTTGGTTCTTATTTTTTCCCTGTTCCTGTGCCCTCTCTTCAACCCTTCCAACCCTCCCTGTTTACAAACTTTGTTTCCATTTTTTTCATTTTCTCATATAAATCCATTCCCTTCTTTCCTTTCCCTACCCCTCCCACATTCCCTTCCCCTTAGCCCCCTTTCTTCCTATTTCACATTATCCATTATACCTTTTAGTCCTTATTTACACTTTGAGCGTAAAGGTGCTGTGAGCCCAAGAGAGTGTTTCTACTAGGAGAGAATGTCTAGCTTGGGGCAAGGAAAGGAGATCAGGAACCTTTCCAAGGGTTTTCCTCCCTCCCTTCCTCCCTCTCTTTTCTTCCTTCCTTCCTTTCTCCCTCTCTTTCCCCCTCCCTCCCTTCTTTCCTTCCTCTGCATTTTTCTCTTTCTTTTTTCTTTCATCTTTCACAATTTTGAAAAATTAAGTTTATATTTTACAGCCACCAATTGTTTCTGGAGATGTTGACTCATTAATACAAAGCGGTAGGCTGCAGATACCTTGGTTACTTGACCACAGCAGTAAAAAAATCTGTCCATGCAAATCTGATGCTGAACAGACTAATTCTGTTTTATTCGAAGTATAGAATAGTGAAGTATGTAAATCCTTTATGCTGGAGGATTTTAGTCACTTGAAGAAATGGAATTAGCCCCGCTCCCTCCAGACAAACCTTTCTGAGAACTTCTTAGGTGCAACTTGATTGCTCAGGTGAGGTTTTTTAAACGCTTGAAGCTTCTGAAACTCACATACTCTTTGTAATTTGGATACCAGAACTAAGCACCTATGTACTCATTCATTTACTGGACAATTATCTATTAACCTGCTCTGACCATTTTTTCTACTTATTGGTTGTGATTCAGCCTCACTTTGCCTCAAGTTTCTTACTGATAAAGTAGGATAATACCAAATACTTTGTAGAATCATTGTGAGGCCTAAAGATGGTACAGTGGTCATCCCCATCAGTGGGGGTTATGTGCCAAGACTCTTTGTAGATACCCAAAACTGTAGATAGTACTGGACCCTCTGTATACTGTCTTCCCCTATACATGTATAAGCATAAAAAATTAATTTATGAATTAGGTACAGTGAGAGATTAACAACAATAACTACTAATACAAACGGACAATTAGAACAATATACTGTAATAAAAGTTACGTGATTGTGCTTTCTCCTGAGATCGTCAAGGTAAATACTATTGTTTTCAGATTGAGGGTGACTCCAGGTAAATGAAATGGCAGAATGTAGCTCTGTGGATGAAGGAGGGGATGGTTAATCAATTATCACAATAGCAGCTCCCACTAAGCACCCAATCAATGTGAACATCGATTGGTTAGTTCTTAGGTGCCAAGCTAGGGCAGAAAACAGATTGTATTTGTGTCCTTAGCTAGTGTGACTTCTAGCAGTGCACAGCTATGAAGAAGTTAATCCCGAAAACATGTTATTACCTACATGTAGATTTAGGGCAATGGGGTTTGGTGATAGAAAAGATCGGGACACCGATTGTAAGTTGGTTTCGGAGTGCAGCGGTGTGGTCCATCATCACGAGGAGCAGAAGCTCCAACTCACAGCTCACCTTCCCTGGGGAACCTTCCCCTGCTTCCCTGGGCCAAAGGACTGATCTCTTCTCTGCATCCCTGCACACACACACACACACACACACACACTCACACACACACACACCCCTACTTTAAGTTTCCGCCCTGCGTTGCAGCTCCTGGATACAAGTTCGATGAAGTCTCTGCTTTCCCCTGGGCTTGACCTGCTTGGGGACCTCTCTGCCCTCTCAATCCCTGAGTCTTAGTCCGAGCTACAACATTCAGTACTCAGAGTGGGCCCTACCCCGCTTCTCTTCAGGACACAGTAGGCGGAGCTGACCCTCTTGCCCTTGCTATGCTATTGAACGGAAGATCTCTGCAAAAGCTCCCGCTGTCTAAAAAAACCATGACGTGCTCCCTCCATGAGAGCTACCGGACTTGCAAAGAAAGTCTCCATGTGATCTGAAGTATCCCGTATCCCACCCAGGTGTTCCACCAGGTGTCATCAATATTGTGTTTGGAGCAGGGCCCAGGGCAGGTGAAGCCTTGGTGTCCCACCCAGAGGTGCCCTTAATCTCCTTCACTGGGAGCCAGCCCACCGCTGAGCGGATCACCCAGCTGAGTGCTCCCCACTGCAAGAAGCTCTCTCTGGAGCTGGGGGGCAAGAATCCTGCCATCATCTTTGAGGACGCCAACCTGGAGGAGTGTGTTCCAACAACCATCAGGTCCAGCTTTGCCAACCAGGTATGTCCTCTGTGTGCTGCATTCTCCCTGAGCTTTGCCAACCTGGATCTCTTTTATCAAAGTGCAAAGCACAGGGGTGAGTAGGTCAATCCAAAAAATTTTTGTTAAGGAAGAGCAACAGATTGTACTATTGATCCAGTGACAATCAGCGGCCTTGTAGAGTCACAATTTCTGTTCATCAATCTTCTTTTCTTGTGTCCCATACCTTTTATCAGGTACCCAATATGGACAGAGTGATTGATTTCTCTGCACGAAGCTTCTCAGTTTCTTATTTCTTCAATTCTTTTGAGACAGGGTATCCTTATGTAGTTGAGGCTGGCCTTGATCTCAAGGCCATCTTCCTGCCTCAGGCCCCCGAGTACTGGGATTATAGGTGTGCACCACCATGCTTGGTTTACATTTCTAGGTTCACACAGTCTCCCGGTCTCTTATTTCTGCCCAAGGGTCCTATTCCCAGTAGACCTTATTCTCCATCCAAAACCATCCCAAACACATTCACACAGTGAGTTACCACTATCTGTGACTTCCCAGAGCAGATTTCTGCGCTAGGAGTCATGTGGGCTCCATAATTTTTGTCTGATTTTTCAAGGTCATGGATCCCAAAGAGGATTAAGAACACCAGACCAGCTCAACTGGACTGCAGCTTCTTGAAGGCAGAACAGTACTTACCTTTGTGCAGTAATTTTAGCACCAAGGCCTAGAATACTCCTGGGGTCTAGCAGGTGTGCATAGATACATAATGGTTTGCTCCAAAGAATATTTTTATTTTAGTAGAGAACAAAGGCTTATGCTAAAGAGCTAGAATTTCCATAGGAGGAAGGAGTGGAATGAGGCAGATCTGTATTTTCCTAGCTCAGATAACACTGAATATCAGGTAACCTTGTGCATCTGTATTTCTTCATCTGGAAAATCATCTGTATCATGATCCTTCCAACAGAATTTTGTGAGAAATACTACTTTTAATTATTTTTTCATGACAAGATAATTAGAGTGGTGATTTTTAATTTCATGATTACTAATAGCAAATTCTCTTACTGTAATTTCTAGAAAAGGTGGATGGAAACTTAGAGTTTTGGATCAGCAGACAATGACATTTCATGATACACCTGTATTAATTATAGAAATAAGCAAATATGAAGTGAACAGCTAAACTAAGGGTTTTAGTGCCTTCAAAATGAAACAGGCACAAACTCTGTGGACCGAGAATTGAGAAGAGAGGCAGTGAGAGAAGCTCTGTGTCAGCGTGAATGAATGCTGAGCCCAGAGTTAGGGGCTGCAAGCTGCTCTACCGCATGGGGCAGGAACTGGCGTTTCCTCAGAGAGCCTGTGGGGACACTCAGATTCTGTGGAAAAGGGACGTGGCAGCCCAAACAACAAATGGATTTTAGGTAAAACAAGCAACACAGCTTGATTGCTTTACTTAGCTTAGTGATGAGTTCCACTTAGGGCATACTTCACACTTCTTTTCTCTCTCTCCTTCCTTCCTTCCTTCCCCTTCTTTCTTTCTGTCTGTCTGTCTGTCTGTCTGTCTGTCTGTCTCTCTCTCTCTCTCTCTCTCTCTCTCTCTCTCTCTCCTTTCTCTCTCTGTCCTTAGGGCTGTGTGTGTGTGTATAGTTGTTGGTTTTTTTCCCACACCTTTTACTTAATTGAACATAACTGACTTTTTAAAAACATTTTTTCTCTCTTTGAGTTTATTGGTACATTTTAGGGATACAGTACAGTTACATTCATCATTGGGATTTTGCATCTTTACATGACAGGTCTTGGTTCTCCTTTTTTCCCCTTGTCCCTGCCCTCCCTTCACCCACTCCTACCTCCCTCTTTACAAACACTTCATTTCCATTCTCTCATATTTTTTTCTTTTCCCTTATTAGCTTTCCCCTACCCTTCCACTTTCCCTACTCCTTTAGCCCCTTTCTTCCTATTTCACATTGTCAATTATCTCATTAGGATCTTATGTACTATTATAGTTTTTCACACCAGAGAAACTAGTCGGTATTTACACATGTGTTATTTATTTCACTTAGGAGTATATCCTCAATATGTATCCATTTTCCTATGAATGAATCTAATTTCTCATATTTTTCATTCTTTATGGCTGAGTAGTATTCCATTTAATAGAAAAACCACATCTTCTTTATCCAGTCTCCAACTGATGGGCAGATGGGCTGTTTCCAAGATTTAGCTATTACAAACTGTGCTGCTATAAACATAGGTGCGCATATATCACTATGATATGATTCTTTTAGTTCTTTTGGAAAGATAACCAGCAGAGGGATGGCTGGGTCAAATGGAAGCTCTAGTCCCAGCTCTTTGAGGTATCTCCATATTGATTTCCATAGTGGTTGCACCAGTCTGAACTCCCACCAACAATGGAGAAGGGTTCCTTTCTTCCCACAACCCGGCCAACATTTGTTATTGTGTGATTTCTTGATAGCAGCCATTCTTTGTGGGGTGAGGTGGAACCTCAGTGTTGTTTTCATCTGCATCTTTCGAATGACCAGTGATGTGGAACATTTTTTCATATATTTTCTTGCTGCTTTTACTTCTTTGTTTGAAAAATGTCTGTTCATTTCAGATGCCCATTTTTTAATCAGGTCTTTATATTTTGGGGGGCCCAATTGTTTTGAGTTCTTTATATATTCTAGGTAAGAGTCCTTTGTCTGAGGAGCAGCTGGTAAAATTTTTTTCCCACATTGTGTGTTGTCTTTTAGTTCTGTTGATGGTTTCTTTTGCAGTGCAGAAGCTTTTTAATAAGATGAGATCCCGGTTGTTGATTCTTTCTGCTAGTTCCCGTGCTACTGAGGATTTGTTCATAAAGTCTTTTCCTATGCCAGTGTCTTCAAGAGTTCTGCCTAACTTATCTTCCAGCAAGTTTAGTGTTTCTTTTTTAATATTTAGAGCTTTAATCCACTTGGATTTTAGTTTAGTGCATGGTGAAAGATAAGGGTCTAGTTTTAATCTTTGGTGGTTGAAATCCAGTTTTTCCAACACCATTTATTAAAGAGACTATCTTGTCTCCAGTGAGGATGGTCAGCTCCTTTGTCAAAGATGAGGTAGCTGAGTACATCTGGAGATGTTTTGTATCTTCCAGTGTGTTCCACTGATCCTCAGGTCTGTTTCTTTTCTCATAAGTGACTTTTTTGAAAAGCATCTCAGCATGGCCTGGGGCATGTAGTATATCAAAACTTCATTCCTAACTGTAAATTGAGAATAATTACACACCAGAGAGTTATGGTGGAGGAAGTGTCCTACACAGTGCCTATAATACAAGAGACTGAGAGACTGATGTTGTCCTTTCCTCATTTCCTCCAAAGTCACTGTCCCAGGGTTCTTAGTGTTACCTATGCTTTCCCGGCATTGAGTAATGGGAAACTTGGCCTCAGGTCTCTTTATCATGCCCCCTTTCTGCATAGAGCCCAAGGCATTTGTGCCATTGAACCTGTCAGGTGCTTGGTATTTTCTGTGCCAGGTACTTAGATGGCTCTGATAGTAATCCTGGTGGCAGAAAGAATTTATTATTTCAGAACATTAACTCTTCAATTTGAACAATGAACCTTTGTGCAAATATATGATAATTAGAAGCATCCTATTTCCTAGGAGTGTTGTGAAGACCAAATATAAAGGTGATGAAAGTAGTTATTTATGCATTTCTGTACTTTCT